CTGGGTGGGGGGTCCACCTAAAGAGGTATGTAGGGGGTGCAAGGTAGGGCCTCAATCCCTAGAATGATGTGGTGAGGATCCATTCCAATGACGTCATATGAACTAAAATCTAAACTCCTTAAAGGGGGTTATATAGGGCATTCTATAGGGGACTATTGTAGGGCTGATGAAGGGAGATATTGGGAGAATTAGACTATAGCTCATATTATTAGGCTTCCAGGGGGGAGAGTGTTGATACCATACATGTGACTACTTTAGTATGGAGATTTTGAGGCTTCGGTCTTTGAGGTCTAAGAGGTTCTAGGCCTGCATGATCTGCTATAATTAGCTCGGACATTTGGGTAGGGCTCCATGGTCATATTGCAGAGTTTTAGGGTCTAGGGTTTCAGTTGTTATATGGCATATGAGGGTGTTATAGTTGTATATGGGGAGTATAGCTGCGCCCATAGTCCAAGGCAATGATGTTGAACGAGTCTAACTGTCTAAGACACTCCTCAGGAGGTGGGTCGTTCCTAAGAGAGTACACCCTATAATGTATGAAGATTATGTATACTGATTATAGGATGTTATAAGGCCTCCTCTACGGGTACCCGCCTGATAACTATCCGCTTAGAGGAGTCCTTGAAAATCTGGCCCGCACCTATGCCTCAAACCCGCCACATGCAGAGAGTGGTTGATCCCGTCAGCAACGTAAATGCATCCCTTTCACCCCTAGACAAACGGCCCGATTTGGGAAGCTGCTATGTACTAAAAGGAACCCCAGGTTTGCGTGCAACCCCAGACGCGCTAGGGTTTGGGATTGCAGGGTTGAGAGTTCAGGATCTAGGGTTGAGGGTTGCCGTTTACAGGAGAACTGGCCACATGTTTTCACGTCGCACACAAGAAGTCCCCAGATTGCTCTGAGAACATGAGATCTTCAATTAAGTGGGGCAAGCGCAGTCATCAATCACGCGGTGATCCGCGCATATACGAGGCTCCCAGAGGATACTTCCGTTTGGAGAGACCGGCACATAGGGATGGGGGAGTGGCCCTGCACCCATATCTGGGGTCCTAGTTTCCTGATAATAACCAGGTGTTGCTGAAAAGGGGCTTCTTTGCATAGCTAGATGATGTGGATCTTAAATAGTTTTTTCCACGATGCGAAGACGAATAGTGGACTTAGTATTTCTGTGGAGTTGTACTGCAAGCCCTAGAAATCTTCCCAGCCCTAAAACCTAAACTCTGTATGTGCATCAGCCACACAAGGAACCTTGGTTGCAGCTATATGAGCAGGTTGCCAAAATTGTGCTCCCTGTAGAGTTCCCATTGAAGTACAGCTCCTGCGGGAAACCTACATATATTATAGTATATGTAGGTTTCCCGCAGGGATCGTAACTTTCGGCACCTTTCATATCAGAGTCAAACCCCAAGTCCTCAATCCCAAAGCGACAACAAAACCCTAAACCCCTAAACGTTCTATAAATCCTAAACCCTTACACCCCTAAGCCATAAGCCCCCAAACCCTAAACCCCTAAACCTTAATGCAGCTTAGGCCTTGCAGAAAGCCTTGGCCGCGGCTAGGACGTGTGGTGTCAGTGAGGAGATCTTGCAGCAAGGCGCTCCGACAACCCATGAAAAAGCGTTATAGGGATATGGAGGCTTCCCGAAATTAGGGGTCCTTTTTTGGGGGTCCCCATAATAAGGAATATGGCATTTGGGAGTCTATATCGGGGTCCCCCTGTTTAGGGAAACTACCATATAGAAGGATGTCTAGGGTTTTATGGGGACATAGAGGGCTGTGCCAGGATTTATGTGTATCTATATACACATGCAAGTGTGTATATGCATATATACATGGGGGCTAGGATTTGGGGTGTAGGGGCTTGTCAGTCAAAATAGGGGGTGCCGAAAGGGACCTTGGGGACCGATGGGGATTCCCAAATCCTTCTGGGGTACCCATCAAGGCCCGAAGTGGCTATATCTTGAAAAACTACCACATCCCACATTTCAGGCTAATAGAGGCTACGGATTCATTGCGAGCTTTCCAGATTTCCGGCGCTCTCTGATTCGATCACTGTTTATGGGTAAGGAGGCGTCCATCTGGAGTGGTATCCTAGGCCTGCATAACTTCTGCCCGGAAACCAGATGAAACCAACTCCCTTTCTCTTCAAGACTTAACCACAGGTTTGCAAGTTGATGGTGTTTCCAACGTGAAGAATACAAGAGGACCAATACCGCCAACACGAATCTTGTAACCCCAGGTTCAAGTAACACGCGTGTCCACGTTGTTTTCACTTTCTTTTCTATTCAGTCTCCAACTTGGGGATCATATCCTTGTGCAAGCTTTTGCAAGCTCGAAAAAATCCCAAAAACTCCCTTCATAGCCCCCAAAAGTCAGGCCCAATTTGCTTTGGGTTAGGGTTCCGGATAAGCCCCCTCACGCTGCTTGCAGAAGAAAAATACAACGTAGGAGGGGCTCATACGTTCATTTTGCTTCTTTTTTCGTTTAATTCTCCATTATTGGGTGAGTATCTGCAAGCCCTAAAACCTAAACCTGAAACCTTGAACCCTAAACCCTTAACCCTAAGCCCTAAACCCTAAACCCAAAACACCAAGCCCTAAACACTAAGTCCCAGGCCGGCCCGCCCAACTTGCCCATAAGGATTGGATTAAGGGTTT